GGACCAGTGGTGTGAGTGGTGATACTGGGAGGGTAGAGGGAGAGTGGGTTGGAAAGAGGGAACCGATTACAAGGAACTATATGTGACCTCCTCCCTCGGGGACAGACAACACAAAGTGGGTGAAGGGAGACATCGGACAGGGTACAATATAACAAAATAATAATTTATAAATTATCAAGGGCTCATGAGGGAGGGGGGAGCGGGGATGGATGGGAAAAAGTGAGGATCTAATGCCGGGGGCTTAAGTGGAGAGGAAATGTTTTGAGAATGACGAGGGCAATGAATGTACAAATGTGCTTTACACAATTGATGTATGTATGGATTGTGATAAGAATTATATGAGCCCCTAATAAAATGATTAAAAAAAGTTTTTGTGAAGAAAAATAATCTATCAAACAAGCAGTGAGACATCAACTAAAACTTGCATGGAAGATGCACACCAACATCTGTGATCCAAAGATTGTAAATAACATAATCTAAATCCGAAGGAGGGAATGGTATCAGACCTTAAATTGCGAAATTCTGGTTTGCAGAAGGCTGAGGATGACAGTGGAAGCCCAAAATACATTTATGGATCCTACACTTACAATAAACCTCTGGTGATTTCCCTCTGATCATAATTGAGGGATTGGAATAGCCTGGATATTAGACAGAGAATACTGTAGAGATGATTATAGTTAATTAAAATGATAAATCTGACTTGAGTGGTTAAAACCTCATCCTTTGATCTCCCTTTTTTTCATTTTATTGGGAGTTCTTATCAATATTATAACAATCAATTAGATCAAGCATAATTGCACCATTGCTGCCAGCGTAATTTTCAGTCATACTAAGAGGTGTTGCACAATCACTACTACAGTTTCAGAACATTTTATTCTTTCTTTTACTCCTTGACATCAGTTCCTTATTATGCCTGCTCCACCTTCCCCACCATACACCTGTCACTGCATTCTAGTCAATGCTGACTCGTAGGGACCCTCTGTGTTTTCAAGACTGTAACTATCAAATGGTATGCTGTTTGGATTATGTCCTAATAAAATGGCTTGAAAATATTTGTATCATGGAAGAAGAAAAGTAAAGCAATCTGGGATATCACATTATGAGGATGAGCAGAATTTGAAAATAAAAATAAAACCTAGTGAACAAGCAATCAATCGACAAACATCCATACTCAAACCATAGGTATCATTTTAGCAAGCAGAAGACAAAGGTCAAAGGCAAGCTACACCTGTGAGTCAGACATCTTACCAACTCCTCACGTACAATCCTTGAAGCAAAGGCATGAGTAATGTCCGTAATTATAATCATGCTTATGTTGGGGGGGACTTCCCAAAGGCACACCTCAAACAAAGGTTGGCAACTAAACAAGATATCAAACCTGTGCCTTCCCCCAAATGACGCCATTAGATTGCTGTCAAATGACTCCAGGAGGGAGCTGAGGTGGAATTCGGCTCTTGAAATGTTTCCCAGGTGTGGTGGTGGTGGGCCTGCTCCTGCCCTTCGTGAAAGTGAGCCGCGAGGAGACAAGGACGTTGGGTGCAGTCCGAGTCGTGACACCAGTAGCAGAGAAAAACCAGAGGTCGTGGGTGTGGGCCATGCCTTGAAAACTATTGAAGCAAAACCACACACTTGATGGTCGATGACTACTTAAGTATTGATTTTTCTTAATGCCTTTTTTGAAACTAGAGATAGGTTGAATCGGGCCGCAAGGAGAGTGCCAATTCCCTTATAAAGGTAGCGCTGAAGGCTCTAATTTGTTGACTGTCATTTAAAACGTCCCTCGAACATATTGTATAATTCCTAGGAGTGTTACAAAATGAATGACTTGAAGTAGTGCTTAAGTCTCCGTGTATAATCTGCGGGCCTCTGTTGTAAGAGCTTCCTAACACTGCAGGCTGCTTACTAACAATGACAGCTCAGCGCAGCACTGACGCTTCCATGGAAGATGCAAGCACATTGTTAAGAGGAACTTTACATAGCTTGTGCTTTCTGATGACAGAAATGGACCACGTCGAAATTTTACAATGAAGGAAAAAAGAAAGAAATTAATGTTTGATTTTTGTTTTAAGTGGTGGTGGTGGTGGGGGATCTTTTCTTCTTTTTTTTAATCATTTTATTAGAGGCTCATACAACTCTTATCACAATCCAGGTGGGAATCTTTTACTATTGATTCTGGGGCAGGGTTATGCTGATGTCCTCTGAGCAAACTGGGTTTTCAGTAATTTGCTAATAGATCCTGGTTCTAGTCGCTAAAGCTTCTGCTAATAAATAATGGATAAAGCAGAATGATGTTAGGTCTCAGAGTGGCCGACTGCCAAGCCTTCATCTCTCACCTTGATGTTGTAGCTCTCGATTTCCGTGTCCAGCTGCCTGAGGCTACTTCCATCTGAAATTCCCATTATTAACTTACACTCAACAAGTGCAAAGGCACACTTACTACGTTATCCTCAAATTCTTTCTACTGATTTTCTTACTCTTGCTAAAGGGGTCAAAGGTCTCCTAGTTACTTCGACTCCGCCTTCACCTGGCAGCCATACCGGTCAGTGAGGGCTCCCTCGTGGGCACTGGCCGGAAGCAGTATTGCGTTCTCTCCCAATCCCTGTGAGGTAGGTCCCTGCAGGGGCTCCGCTTTATGACGGGAAAGCTCTCCAGTGAGTGGGAGCTCAAGACGCAGCTCTCCAACCAGATCAAACCAGCGCCCTCCAGCAAGCCCATGGGGACTGAAGCCCCAGCTCCAGGGCTGCAACTCGCCCCAAGTTGCAACTTCTAAATGCCTTGTCATATTGCCGGGAAGGCACTTCTGACCTCCGTTCCCGCCACATCGGTGTGTAGAATTTGGCCTTATCACGCCCAAACTGTCTCCACGCCTTTCCATTTTCTCTGCCCTTTTCCTCTTTGAAGTAGTCTCTCTGCTCGTTCTCTATCTACAGATTCACTTCATTTACACTCTTAACCGAGTAAAACCGTCAGTGGCTATCTGTGGTCTGGGGGCACCTTTCTTAGCTCCGTAGTCAGGTTACTGTGTATCCATCCAGTCTAATCACTTCCCTTCACGAGTCTTACAGTCTATGCAGTCTAGACGTCCTCCTTTATTCGGAACTCCTCTGTGTTGTAATTGTATGCAAGCCCTCCATGTCGGGATTAAATGCTACTTCCTTCACGAAGCCTTTCATGAGTCCATTAATGAAATAAAGCATTCTGGATTGTTCTCATGACAACATATGCTAGCCTGTTCTCTGGTAACTTGTATCCTTTTCTTATCACCTCTATAGGATCCTAGCCCCTTAGGCTTGAAATGAATATGAATATTATCTGTAACAGTAATACATAATACTAAACTGCATATTACTAGTATCTGGTAGCTTTAGGTAGTGCAATACACATGGGTTTTGCTTTAAAAGTGAAGATTAGTGAAAAGGTACTGTTAGGTGCAGTCACAGTTTGTGGTCCGTGTACTCAAGGTGTTTTTAAACTATATTAGTATTTTTTAAAATTAGCTGGTAGAAGTAAGGAGCCCCTCTGCGAGGGAGAAGGGAGAGGAGAACAGGAGAAAACGAATAGACGGAGTGAGGTAGGAAAGCTGAGGCCTGAGTTTGACATGGAAAGGTCAGCACAGTTGTCGTAAATGGCAGGGGACATTCAGAGAAGGGACAGCAAGCGCAGTCTCCAAGTAGACGTGGGGTCAGCAGGTCTTGGGACAAAAGTTGGCACTTTGTCCTGAGACAAAAATGACACCCCTTGAGAGGGAAGCATACCGGGAAGTTTTGATATTCCAAAGTAAAACAACTTAATTCCCTGAAATTACTGCCTCATTTATGTAAAAAATCCTATCACAAGGCTTTGAGTGATAGCCAACATTCTTCAAGTTAGTTACAGTTTCACTGTATAGATTCTATGACTGGGTAATTGCTATAATTCATCACTGACTACCTGAGTTATGGGAAATCATAATATGCTGGCAAAATGTTCCTGCAGATATACGCTGCTGCCATCAGAGTTTTAGGTTTTGGTTTCTAACACAGTCAAAACATATGGTAAGAGATTACCTCACTGATTAGACCTTAGAACTCTGAAAAATAAAGTCATTTTAATAATGGGGTTCCTATATACTAACACAGTGTTTTCATCTGATTTGTTCATGTAAAATTGTCTTATGATTACCCTTACTGTTCTGAGAGAGGGTTATCACAGACGCATAATGAATTCCATCTACTTTTACTTGGGACTCAATCCAGATTCAAAACTGGCCTAGAGAGATGACTGAATACTGGTCTGGATAAATCATTACGTAGTTGTATTTCCACTGTAGTACTCACAGGGAACAAAAAGAAAGAAAATGGACTCATTTATTACAAAAGCCACTTAGGAAGACAGGAGGAGCAGAAAGAAAAGGATGTAAGAAGTATACATTTTGACTGCCCGCTGTTCTTTGTTTGGGGGACGCGGGGACTAGGATACCACTGAATTTTATGGCTGATAAGACACTGACCAATTTTACATTTGTATAATTTGCTTATGTGAATGCATGTAGCTTTTCCCTTAAGACTAGAGTGTTAGTAAGTTTCTCCATATGTGCCTAACTTGACTTTGACCTTTAGGCAATGTCCTTTAAGCCATCCACTGACTATCCAAGAACAACACAGACTGGCACTTCCCATGCGCTGGAGTTGAAAGCACCATAAAAGGAAATGACCCATGACACAAAACACGTCCGCCGCAGAATAAGAAAGCACTCCCGCCCTGTAAATTTTAGTGGCATCTGTTTAAAACTGCACTGGGTCACTTTAGGATTAAACTCATCGGGTCAAAATGTAAATGCACATATTTTATTTGGGAAACTGCCAACCATATATTCTGTACAGAAGTTTGTTAGCCGAGGGAAGCCGATCTAAAGGGACAATGGGCCGTGTATCTATCAAACACCGGGTCTGTTTGTGATACATGATTTTATGTGTTACAGATACACTTACTATTTAGCCTCATGCATATTTAATGTTACAACGTCTGCTTCAATGCCCTAAAAAGCCTTTGTTCACTTTATAGTCTCCATTATTGAAGAACCAATGTTCAGTTCCCTCACAATTTTGTAAAGTGCAGGCAACCCACAAGAGCTTCTTGATTTAGCCGGCTGCCCCTTGGGACTGAGATAATTTTTATGAAGTCATTAATTCTACCTCAGCAGTTTCAACTGTCAGGCACATGTAACAATAATTGCAGTTAATGAATGCTGCTCAATTTATTAAGTACAAAATGAAAACCAGTATTCTTTTATATGCGGCACTGAAACATATTATCATTTATCATTTGTGTACACCATGTTGAAAATTCAACTGTCATTTATTGGGCAGGGCATAAAACCATACATAGCTATATATTTTTTAAAAACTTAACTTCATTAAAGGATAATGCAGGAAATCCCAACTCTCTAATTAAGGAGTACGTTAAAAAATCAGTTCCAAATGCAACATATAATAAGAACCCATGTCTGTGAAAAAAAAGACCAGGGATTCCTGATTTAGGGAAAAAAGATTCCATCTTAAGCCATCCTTCTCTTCCGAAATCCATACAAGAGTCTCAAGAAGTCCCAAGGCTTCCCATTGCTTAGAATATTCACCTTGTTTCATTCTCCAAATTAAGGGCAGTGAAACTTTTGTCAATACAGAAGTTGTCGTTGAAAACCAAAATAACGAAGAAGTAGATTTCTTATTTTCAGTCACTCAAAGTAAACTGCATAGACATTGGCAAGAGCAAAGAGAGAAGAATTTCTGAAAACGTAAGATGAAAAAGTATCAGTTTTCGGATCCCACAGGCATCTGCTTCCAATGAACATACTCTGACCGGTCCGCTGTCCAATGTGAATACTCACGAGGAGCTTATACCGTGGGAGCATTAAAGCCTTGACCCGGGCTTTAATCACCTACCAGTGAAAAAGGGAAGAAAAGCCTTTTAGCCACATTGGAACTTCAACATCTCAATCTTTGTCACCCATTGGGGGGATTTCACATTGCACGATGCCTTGTTGATGCTTTCACTAATTGTTGTTGATCCCTGGTTCTGATCTCCTTCAAGGACTGTTCCCATGGATTGGGAAATCAGGGGCGATAAATCTACCTTTTCTAAGGCACAACAGAATACTTATCATCCAGAGTACAGATTTAAAAATTCTTGGGAAATCTGTATTAAGCTGGCTTCTCTTCAACGACTGCTGGGTTCAGAGTTAGGCAGACATTGTCTGGTCATTCAGAGTCCAGGGCTATATTCACACAGGACTTCGATGTCACATGAATTGTCATGAATGCTTTATTAAGATTTTTTTTAATCAAAAAAGAAAGTGGACAAAACCTAGATAGATAAAAGACCAATCCTTTACTTGATAAAATTAGCAGTGCATGTAAGGACCACAGTATCTTGACTAGTATTCAAAGAATGGTGAAGAACGAGGAGCTCATTAACATATTGGCTTGTGGCCATCCTTTTTGTAAGTAAACAAGACAGTTTTATACATCTTCTTTATAATACATGCAAATTGTGTACATAATAATCGCTTACCCAAAAGTTTTCTCTCGCACGCACATATACATGCACTATATGGGATATGGCCTAGCAAATCTTTTATTTAATATAAATAGGCATTTTCTGTGACTGTAAATAAGCTCCTTTCATCAAGAAGTAGGGATGGTTGTGCTTTCAGTAGATATTAATATTGGGAAAAACTCACACATACCTCAGAAATTGTCTTAGTCACTCGTCTACAGAATTCTGGTTCATATATCTCCTCTTGAAGATAGTTCGTTAACACATCCTTCAAAATGTGGTTCACAGCAGCCACAGGAAAATGTTGTGTAGGACCTGAAAACACAGACTCTCTTTCAAAGGAGTAATTTCAAACCATAGCCATTGTGCCCACGTGTTAATCAAAATTCAAACATGAAGAGACATTTGAAAAGGAAAAAAGAAGTCTTATCTAAGGGCAAAACCAAAACAAACAGTTTCCAGTCAGGTTCTCTGGAAGGGACAAGAAGATGATGGATCCATGCATTTCCCACACTACAAAAATGGGTATTCAGTCCTATTGGGGTTTGACATAAGGAATTTCTTCCTCCCTTGCCTACAGTTAGGGACCTACCTCAAAGTCTCAACATCTTTCTAACTATGTAAACCCAAACCCAAACTCACTGCCATCAAGTGGATGGACTCATAGCAGCCCCAGGGGATAAGGCAGAACTTTCCCTGTGGGTTCCCACCACCCGATCGAAGGTCACCTCAAGCAGGATCCACTCCAGGGCCGTGGGTGTGTCCCAGCGTGTTCAAGTGGCTAAGATGCTGGAAGTTTAAATTCACCCAGAGGCCTGTCAGTCGAAAGACCTATGTCTGAAACCATTAGTCACTGAAAACCCTACCGAGCACATTGTAGTGTGACACGGTAGTTGTCATCAGGAGTTGTAGGTGGCTTCATGACCACTGTTTGCTTCTTTTTCAAAGGACGAGCCCTTCTCCATCTTGTTTGTCTGAGGAGCACGTCCCATTTTTCAAAGCCAGCTCAAATGTCTGCTTCTCCAGGTATACTTCCACTTCCCTTCAGGGCCCAGCAATTACTCTCTTCTCCGTAATCCCAAGGCACCAGGCCCCATTGCTCTCCTGGCTCCTAATAACTTTAGATTATACCTAACCTTCCACTTGATCTTAACGCTTGCCTTTCTCCTCAGTAAACTAGGAAGCAGGGCTAGCAGGGCTTATATTGTTCCTGTTAGAAGTATAAGAATAGAAATGGAATTAAATATTTTCTAGACAATTATCACAATACATATCATGTATTTTACCGAGCATGACAGGCATTATATTAAATATTTTGTATTTATTACCTTATAGACTCTCTCAATAAATCTAAAGTTAATCCCACAGGTCTCCTCATTACAAATATGCTTTTAATTATTAGCAGGGTGATGAATGCTTTTACAAGACGAATTTTCAGAGGTTTAAATGCATTGAGAAGTGTATCCAGGTGCACACCGTGGTAGAGCGCAGATGCAGGTTTATTTAACTTGAGCTCTATATTCGTAATCACAGTCCATGTTTACAGCAAAAGCTTTGGCTGGGCCTGCTTTTCTGTGCACTCCAAAAGTCTTACTGGTGCCTCCTAGACACATTCATTAGCCTCATCACCACTCTGGTTATGTGACCATGTTATTAAGCTACATGTACAAGTGCCCAGGGCCCGCCAGTCATTACTTGCAGAAGAGACATGGATGAAGAAATGAGATCAAGAAGTACTTAGAATTGGATTCTAATAGTGTCCCTGTGTTTTAATAAGGGTTTATTTTTAGGAACTCTATCTGTCAGGGCATAAGGATGCATGTGGCATGTTCAAGTTAGAGGAGTGGCAGCAATCTTTAATATGATGAGTTTTTGGGGGGAGGTCCACCACTCATACTGCAGGGATTGGTAAATATCTCCCATCTCTTCATTTTGGGGGGCGTTAGTGGTTAGCACATAAATTCAAATAATAGTCACATTCGCTGGCTTTTCTATGTAGGCATATGGACCTCATCCTATCGCAGACAGCACTGGACTGAAAACGATCTTTTTGATGGTGACTATGATGCCATTCCTCATCACGTTGTCATCCCTGGCATAGCATGAATGTCTGAGTCCCAGTGACCAATGCCAGTCCATTCTACTCCCACATGGGTAAGGCATCTGTGTCCAAGCATTCCATTTCCTGTTGACAACTTCCAATGTGCATACAGTCATGCTCTGTACGGTCTACATTCCTGTTACTAATGAATCTTTGCAACTGTGTTTTTTTTCTTTCTCGTTTTGACTTGTGCTCATTGGCAACCAGAGTTCTTGAAAGCGTTACTAGAGTCACCTCCTTAAGATCACCTCTCGGAATGTGAGAAGGCAGCTCTTCTCCAGCCGTGCCTGGAGCACCTTCCAACACGGGCAGCTCACCTTGTGCCACTAGATTAGGAAATATTCCGCTGCTATTTCTACGGATTTCACTGGACAATTTTTACCAACTTCTGCAGTTTGAAATAGATCAAATATGAAATCAAGATGCATTGATCGTGATTGGGGATCGGAAAGTGAAAGTTGGAAAGAAAGAAAGATCAGCAGTTGGCAAAAAGGGCCCTGGTGACTGAAACAATCCTGGTGGTTGCAGGAGAGCAGAAGGGCAGCACGGATTGTATTTACTAATCTGAATTGGAATTGCCCACTACAGATTAGGAAGCAAATCCAAATAATCTCAAAATGATTTTGCTAACTGGATACTCGGTCCTTCTCAGGGATTATGCATTTGAAAAGAGGCTTTGATGCTGGAGGAAAATGCTGTGGACTTGGGGGAGATGCCAGGCATAACTGGCAGCAAAAATGCTACCAATCGCTTGTTTGTCCTGGTGCCTGCTGCCAGTGCTTTTAAAGAACTGGGTACCTCTTTAATCATAGTCCAGGCCAAAAAAAAAAAATCCCTCAGCTACTCATTCCATAACTAATAGGAAATTGTATTGAATATCATGGGAGGCTTGCTTCTATTCTCCCCTCCCCCCCATGTTATTTATTTATTTTTAACTTCTTATTGGGAATTGAGTGGAAGTTTACAGAAGAGGTTTTACATCCAGCAATTCATACACATTTGGTTTCAATTCATCCTTTGAAATCCCCTTAAGGGATGTACTATCACTTATTCCTCTTCTTCCCTGAGTTTCTTGGATCCATTTATCTTTCTTCCCCCCGCCCCCCCAAAGTTTTGCTGGCATATAATTCACATATCATACAATTTACTAGTTCAGCCTCATCAAGAAAAGTTGTACAATCATCACCACAATCAGTTTCAGAACAATTTTTCATTCTTGTACTCATTGATATTAGCTCCGTATTCTCTCCAACCTCCTCTGCCATCCCAAGGAACCATTAGTCCACTTACTGTCTCTATAGATTTACCTGTCCTGGACTTCATATACAGAAAAAACATTAAACGTACAAAAAACAAAGACAAAAACTAACCACAATAGCCAAGTAAAACAGAGAAAAACCTCAATCAAAAAGAAAGCAGAAAATATTAAAACCTAAAACAAGCATAAATGGGTCATAAGGGAGCTAAATTTTAACCTAACTGCATCTGCAACAGTCCACTTTCCATGTCACCAGTCCATGGTCAGAGGGGATTCACACCAGGGGGTTACTGCATGTGTATTTCTCCTTCACAACAACAATAACAACAACAACAAAACAAAAAACCTGGAAAAACTTTAAAATGGGTCAAAAGGGAGATCAAGTGATAAGATATTGCATTTTGACCTAACTGTGTTGGCCACAATCGACTTTACAATGCTCTCTGTCTGATACCAGGGCTAGACACATCCCTCAACTGTGATCACCTGAGAGTCAATCCATGCGCGGACCCGCAAGCACAATTTGGGCTTCCACTGTCATCCAAAGACGTCTGCAAACCAGGCGTTCACAATTTAAGCTTTGATATCATTCCCTCCTTTAGATTTGGATTATATTATTTATGATCCATGGATCCCCAAGGCTGATTGTTTTTTCCATGTGGACTTAGTTGATGTTTCACTTAGACGGCTGTGGTAGACTTCTATTCTTAGTGATACGGTAAAATCTAGTCACATCCAGAAACAATAGCATAAATGTGTCATCTAACCTTTGGGTCCTGTCGTGTTTTATTGGCCAATTGAAATAAAGTGGACACTGGGTACAAGAAAACCATGAAAGGATCCCATTGCCTGCACAGGGTTTCATGACTGGACGACCTCCGGGCTTCCTTATTAGGGCACCTGGGTTTTTTATTCTCGTAGACTTTGGGATTATGACTCCTTTCCTCCCCATTTCCGAGCCCTCCTCTGCTCATCACTGTCAAGTCATGTTTTCCCGAATGTTCTCTAGATTCATCTCTCTACTGCTCGTGCAGGTTTGGGGAGGATGGTGGGCGAGACAATATGTTCCTTTCTGAAGAGTCTTGTGTCCAGGGTCAGTTGTAAGACACTGATGGAGGGATTACGTGGGCTCTCAGGCCCAGTGGCAGCTGGAAGAGCCCCAAAGTGTCTTGCAAAGGGAGGCTGAGGACCAGGATGTGTAACGTGGAGGAATCATGTACTAGGAGGGTAGTCAGGAGAGTGACAGACCAAGGATATTAGAACAACTGACACTGGCCCAGGGTTTCATAATGTGTGAAAAATCAGTGAAAACACTTTACTTCATTTAATCGTTACAGCACTTTTCTGATGTATGGACTTATAAATATAGAAGAAATCCTGAGATTCAAGGATGTTGACTACCTCTCTCAAACTTAATTTACCCAGGCATTCAAAATAGAATTCACACTCTAATTCGAATTAGTTTGAATTTTCTTCTGTATTTCTTCCAGTTTGAATTTTCTTCTCAGTTTGAGAAGCTTTTGTATTTCTTCTCAGTTTGAATTTTCTTCTGTATTTTTGTCCCAGTAGTTGATGAGGAAAATATGGTAAGTGGTGTTTTATCTTAATAAATATACTGTCTGTTTTCCCTTACTTTTTTTGTGGCTAATTATATTCAGGTTGCTATCTCATATTTGGTATCTATCATTACTCAGGTAAAGTAGAATAATTGTGTTCAAAATATAAGATGTGATTAGATGCAGCAAACATTATTGGGTTGAATATGAGAAATTAATTAGACATAGCATGCTGATGATTGACTAATTTTTCCCCTTCTTCATTCTGCTGCTTAGTACTGCATTGTGTGGGCTCAGGTGACTCTTTACCAAAGCCCACAGAGTGCCTCTCACGTGCAAAATAAATCCAGACATCCAGGGAAGTGGAGATAGTGTTTTGAATATTAGCCAGATGATAATGGAACAATTAAAAATGATTTTTCAAGCATAAAAGACTTCAAATGTAAAATAACTATTCACATAAAATTTTGCAGGAAAATACTACATCTATACTAAGCGTTTTCTAGATTTACTTTTCTAACTTGCACTGACACTTAGTGTTTCTAAAGCTGACAGGACAGCTTGGCCTGTTAATGTAAAAAAATAGGTATGAAAATATATCCAAATGAAGAAGAAGCACAGGACTTCACATTTTGACTGGTCTGTATTGATGACAGCAGCTTTGGTAGTGTAGTGATTATGTGTTGGGCTGTTAACAGCAAGGTCAGCAGTTCAAAACTATCAACAGCTCCTTGGGAGAAAGACGTGGCTTCATTGTCAGAAACAAGGGCCATTCTACCCTGTCCTGCAGAGTTGCTGTGAGTCAGTATCAACTCTATGGCAGTGAGTGTTGTTTGGTTTTGTATTAGTGCCATGTGATACAAACTGCTCTGGCAAGTGCACCCCAAATTACTGGCATCAAAGGGTTAAAATCTATCAGTGACAGGTGGGAGAAAATGTGACCCAAATGTGGTTTGACTTTGAGTGATTGGCTAAATTTAGGACACAAATAGTGACATCAGGATTCAGTTGTTCCCTCTTGTTCGGCTCTGCTTTCCCGTATGCAAGCCCCAGCCAAACCCCCCAGTACTTGAGACTTCAGGGTCTGACTGGTTTCTCCAGTAACCTGAACAAAATTCCCTGGATCAAATCCCAAAGGCTTTCATTGGTTTGACCAGAGTTATAAGTTGTCTTGAACTCAGCCACTCTCCTGTTTCTGAAACCAGTGTCCATTTCACCAGAATGGTGAAGCTGGGTCCAGTTACCAGGAGTATTAAAACTTACTGGCTGGCAGAAATAATAGATGTCCACCCCTGGCACTCTGAAAATACCAGAAGATTGACTAATTATGGAGCCCACTAATCCATGTCGTCTTGGGGATTACTGTAGAAAACTGGCTACAAGGTTTAATGGGACGTGTTGATGGTCTGTAATTTTCCCTGGGTTAACTGGCCACAGATGGGACAACCTTGCCCCATAGGGTTTGTCTCTGGCCCTAGGTAAGTCTCTGTGGAATTTCCACATAGCACTAATTATAAAAGGATTCAGATAAGAGTGGGCAGGTCTGCATCTAGAGAAAACAAGTAGGTCTACGAGGAAGCATGAATGGGAAAAAGCTACTTGCCATAAGCTCTACCTGGGAGCATAGCGGCAGGTGCAAAGCTCTTTGTTCTCGAAATCCCCAAACCTCAGTGGTATGTGATAAACATCTCTGTCAACAGGGGACCGGAATCGTTTGCCTTGCGGAGCTTTTCCTTCCACCCATCAACAACATTGTTTGGTTTTACTGGATTAAACTTCCGTGAGCAGCCTCTTCATTGAGTTCCACTACTCAAGAGTGGCATCAGTCTGCCAAACAACTTTCCAAGGTCACCCATAAATATTCAATGAACTTCTTAATTCAGACATAGCTAATAAAGGTGATTGACATGAAGTAAAATGCTTAGCATTTGAGACAGTGAAAAAGTAGTCAATGGGTGTTGATCTGATTTTGCAGAGGAAGAAACTAAAATAAAGCAGCATCATATCACTTAATAAATGAACTTCCCTTATTTTCTGCCAGGCACCCTTAGGTGGCACAATGGTTAACTGCTCTACTACTAGCTGGAAGGTTGGCAGTTCCAACCTGTCCAGAGGCCCCTCAGAAGAAAGGACGGGAGATTTGTTCTTGGAAACCCTTTGAGGTGCAGTGCCATTCTGTACAGATAGGAATGCCATGCATTTGAGTTGACTCATTAAGACAAGGATGGATTTTTGGCCTTATTTTGTGCTGTGATGAAGATAATGATGTATTGTTTACATGATCATCAGTCATCACACGAGTAGTTTCAAAACCTGAGTGAGTGATAAAAGATAACTTCCCCCTACTATCATGATCCCAATTCTACCTTACAAATCTGGCTAGACCAGAGGATGTACATTGGTACAGATAGCAACTGGAAACACAGGGAATCCAGGACAGATGACTCCTTCAGGATCAGTGGTGAGAGGGGCAATGCCTGGAGAGTGGAGGGAATGTGGGGTAGAAATGGGGGACTGATTACAAGAATCTAAGTATTGCCTCCTCCCTGGGAGATGGACAGCAGAGAAGAGGGCAGGGGGAGATGTCGGACAGTGTAACTTATGACAAAACTATAATAATTTGTGAATTATGGAGGGTTCATGAGGGAGGGCAGAGGGGGGAAGGAGGGGGGAAATTAGCAACTGATATTAAGGGCTAAAGCAGAAGGCAAATGTTTTGAGAATGATGAGGGCAACAAATGTACATACGTGCTTGACACAATGGATGGATGTATGGATTGTGATGAGAATTGTACGAACCCCTAATAAAATAATTAAAAAATAAATAAAAAGGGCAATTAAAACCTGAAAAAAAAAAAAAAGATCACCGACCCAACTGGTAGGTGTTTCCCATCTGCACTGTAAGGCGCGAGGCACTGTCACGCTGGCCAGCCTCATCCAGATCAGCCACAGTACTCAGGGGGCTGCAAGCAAGGGAGAAAAAGAAACCTCAATAGTTGTGAAAACAATAATAACAAAATGCATTGCTGCTTTAAATTAAAATGTTGGAAAAATACGTTTTCCCTAAGAAAACGTCAAATAAATCCTATATACATACCCCTGTGACATACTGCAAGTCTAAAAGAGGTTGGAGATGGAAGAATGAAGGCCAAGCTGAGTTAGACCACGTCTCCTGGTACAGGGTGGGTGGGGCAGAGAAGACCCAGGTCATTTCACTATCCCTAAAGTTCACCTTTAAGAGATCGTATCACATCTGTTAACACTTGACCGATGTCTACAGGCTCACAGAGCACACCTTTCAAATGCCAGTGCCAATCTCGGGTCGATTATCACACGTGCATAGTCTCTCCAAAGGGACAAAGGTGCCAGAGAGGCCTGGGGAATGTAAGAGGAAGCTTGAAATGTTAAGGGAAAACTCGGTATTCCTGGAGGTGTCCGCTGTAATGTGTGTCTCACGAAAGCCCTTGAGTAGGAAACAGAAAACTGAGACGCTCTGCTCGTATAAGGTGAGGACAAACCACAATTCACCCCAACGATCGTAAATCGATAAGCATCAATCATCCTTTTCAGAGAAAGGGGGTTGGTTTGGTTACCAAGGCAATGTGAGCTTATCCAGGTGCTGAACAGGAGACCCAAGAAAAGAGGAGCCCCTAACGTCCGCAAGCACTGTATAATTCTACTCAATTCAGAAGCAATTCAGCGGTCACTAATGGCAGTCTCAGAACGCCCCACCCCCAGTTCTCTCCACCTGTGAAAATGGAAGTTGCGACAGATGTCATTTCAAAGGAGATGATATAACAGTGTGTGTGTGTGTGTGTGTGTGTGTGTGTGTGTGTGTGTGTGTTTATTCAGAGGGGCCACTTTTCTCAATCGACTGTATTTCTGCTTTAATTTGATGAGAAAAGAATATGTTTGTAATCTTTGGGGATTTTCTGTTTCTCAACAAAGCTTAAAATACACCATTCTCTGCTGAATGAATGGGTAAATTTCTTCCAAATTGATACTTTATGAAAATCAGAGACAATCGTCTTACAAACTACTTTCTACATAAAAAAAAAAAATCCACCAGATAAATTGAGGTTTTCCCACCCAGCCCAAGAGAGGGATGCAAGACATGATGGCTGCTTTTCCACGAGGCGTTTTGGGATTCGGGTTCTCGTCTTCGTTCTGGTAACACCTGTTTTCCTCATCATTTTCTGTTGCCCTTTGAAGTAGTCACCAGGCTGTTTGGCCACATTGGCTACAGGTGTTGTGGGATTGCCAAAGGTGATAGTGTTTGCTCAGAACAGCCACTGCTGCATAAACTGCTTATTTGAGGGTAAGGTGATCTGCAGACGCAGTATTATATGTGCTGTTTTTAACTTTGCAAAACGCACTTTGCCTCAGTGATCTCATTTTGCTTCCCCAATATTCTTTGAAGGATGCCCGGGAGTCATTATTTCCACTTCTTTCTGAGATTACAGAAATGAAGCAAAAGGTAGTCAAGGAGCTTCCTTAAAGTCAGAGATAAAGGCAGCTTCAGATTTCAAATAACCTTGGTGTCTCTGAAAGGCACAGTCTCACATATGGTCATATCTGCCCGACTGCAAGCAGGGCTCATGACTGCTGGAACCAATTCATTACTGCAGCGCAAGGTTGCTTGCATGAAGATGAGCAGAAGCTACTGACAAAACCTCTATGCCTTTCTACAGAACACCATTCTGTAAACGGATAGGAAGCAAACCAAAATTGGCATAAAATTAAAACTCTCAGGAGTTAGAAGTCTAAGACAAGAAATTAAATCAAGACGTTCCAAATAGCCCAATATTGCTTTGTTCCATGCTACTAAAAATGGACAATCAATGCAATATACGTATATTATCATTAAGAAATTGGAGGGTGCCTCTCAGGTACCAAAGCAATTTTTATTCAGGGGAGCAACAAGTGACCCAAAATCAGTGGCAAAGAGGGTGTGAGAGGCCTGGTAGGGATTCAGCAAGGGCAATATAACCAAGAGAAATCACTGAAACCCAAATGAAGGCTGACCATGATAGTGGGACAAGAGGAAAGTAAAGGGAAATAGAGGAAAGGACTAGGGGACAAAGGGTATGTATAGAGGTTTTAAGACTGGAATGTACATATGTAAATATATTTATATATGACTGTGGGGAAACAGATCTATGTACATATATTTATAGGTTTAGCATTAAGGCAGCAGATGGACATTGGGCCTCCACTCAAGCACTTACTTAATGCAAGAACACGTTGTTCTATTAAATTGGCATTCCAGGATGCACAGCTTCCCGACACAATTGCTGAAGAAAAATGTGTGCATGAGCAGGTGTGGTGAAGAAAACTGATGGTGCCCGACTATGAAAAGATGTGGCATCTGTGGTCTTAAAGGTTTGAGGATAAACAAGCGGCCCTCTGGCTGAGAAGCATCAAAGCCCACATGGAAGAAGCACACCAGCCTGTGTGACCATGAGCTGTCGAAGGGATCAGGTATCAAGCATTAAAGAACAAAAATCATGTCATTGTAAAAGTGGGTGAGTGCAGAGTGGAGACTCAAAGCCCATCGGTAGGCAACTGGATGCCCCCTTACTCAAGGTGTGTGGGAGGAGATGAGCCAATCAGGGTGCAGGGTAGCAATGATGAAACATATAACTTTCCTCTAGTTCTTGAATGCCCCCCCCCCCACAATCATGATCCCAAATCTACCTTACAAATCTGGCTAGACCAGAGGATGTACACTGATACAGATAGCAACTGGAAACATGGAATCCAGGACAGATGACTCCTTCAGGACCAGTGATGAGAGGGGCGATGCCTGGAGAGTGGAGGGAATGTGGGGTAGAAAAGGGGAACTGATTGCAAGAATCTAAGTATTGCCTCCTCCCTGGGAGATGGACAGCAGAGAAGAGGGCAGGGGGAGACGTTGGACAGTGTAACTTATGACAAAACAATAATAATTTATGAATTATGAAGGGTTCATGAGGGAGGGGGAGAGGGGAGGGAGGGGGGAAATGAGCAACTGATATGAAGGGATAAAGTAGAAGGCAAATGTTTTGAGAATGATGAGGGCAACAAATGTACATATGTGCTTGACACGATGGATGTATGTATAGATTGTGATAAGAACTGTCGAGCCCCCAATAAAATAATTTTTTAAAAATTGGTAAGCATACATGAGAAAACTCAAAAAACTCTCGGCCATTGCATGGAGGCCGACTCACAGGAACCCTATAGCAGAGGGTAGATTGTGGGCTGACCTTCAGAGACTGACTCTTGACAGAAGTAGAAAACCTCATTCTTCTCCATGGAGTGACTGGTGGCTTTGAATGGTTAACCTTGAAGTTAGTAGTGCAAGCATGTGACCATTACACCATCAGGGCTCCCAAGTGTCATTAAAGACAGTCTCAACATTTTACCGTTGTGCAAGTAAAAAGTTGTGCAGACTGTTTTAATCACTAAAGATGGTTTTGATCCCTGCTCTTTGATTTCATTTAAACCAGTGTTTCTCAACCTTCCTAATGCTGTGACCCTTTAATACAGTTCCTCATGTTGTGGTGACCCCCAAACATAACATTATTTTCGTTGCTACTTCATCACTGTAATTTTGCTACTGCTCTGAATCGGGTGACCCTTTGAAAGGGTCGTTCAACCCCCAAAGGGGTCGTGACCCACAGGTTGAGAACCGCTGATTTAAACCATATATACTTAGTGTAAAAGTTTCAAAGCACCAAAATAATACAATGAAGAATGCAGGATCACATAAAATATTATTAAGCACAGCAGTAGAACAGAATTCGTTTTTTGCGATGGAGATGGACTTTCGGAGTCAATTTCAGATGTTTTGTGCTAGAAATGTGGCAACACCTGGGGTAGCCAATCGCCCGTCCCTGTGTGATTTTCGAAGGCTCACCACACATTGACTAAAGTTATAATTTCATGGAAAATTGTGTACATAAACAACAAAACCAACCCACTTCTTTTTAGTAGTGCATTAATTTTAGTAGAGATGTAACAGTGCCCACATTAAAATGGAATGGGCTAGAAAAAGGTAGTTAGAGTTGAAAAAACAGAGTGCCCTAAAAGATAGAATACCTATTTCTTGAAGGAAAATAAAGAGGAGAAATGTTAAACATACTTTCCATCTAGGAAAGTAACATTAAGCCGGAAAATGGGCTTGGTACATTTTCAGAAATAAAGTGAGCTCTCTGGGTGTTAAAATTGGAAACTAGAAATATCAGTTTAGAATACTGGCTTAGAAAAAAAGACTTGGACAGAGTTTCCTTTGATAAGTAGTTTCTTGACATTCCTTTGGACTCGTTGAAGAGCCAACGGCCAGGTGGTGAAAGAGTACATTTACAGTGTGATGACCACGGCTCTGTCTGTGACACAAAAGAGCTTCTTTGCGACCTGTCGTAACATCTCAGGTGGGTGCATTGCGGTTTTCAATGGCTAGATTTTCCCTTTTGGACACATGATCTTTTTACCAAGGTGATGCTGTGTTTGATTTTACCTTTCACACGTGCAAATGTTCTTCTAGTTTTCTGTACCATAAACTTGTTTCCCTTTCTGGGAAAAAAAAGTCCATTGTAACATGTGTCCCGGAGAGTTGTAAAACATTAGGAAGGAAGGTAGATTAAAAGTAATGTGGGATTAAAGAAGAAAAGTAAAGAAAGACTGGCGTAAATGACCAGTGAAAACGGTAAATATTCTTCTGGAGAGACGGCTAACCATTTGTGACCTGCTGCAAAATTCAGCGACTGCTTGGAACCACATGTTCCATTACTGAAGACAGGCTCGGCTGAGCAGAGCTCTTGTGCACGGGGCCCAGAAGCCGCTATCAGGCATTGGACTCGAATAACAAAAGTCACCCTCCCTTTCAGCACCCGACTGACACCAGGAAGGCATGGCAATTTTTAGAAACAAAACTTCCCATGAGAACGGAAGAGCTTGTGATCCAATGAAGAGGGAAAAG